GTAAAACTCCACCATAACCACAGTTTTAATTAAATTTGATTGATAGCCCATTACATAAGTATGCACAAAGCCACAGTTCGCACAGGATGCTATTTCCTTTTCAGGTTTTTCAATACAGAAAGGACTCCCGTTCTTAACCGTTAAGATAAAGATCTTTTTAGAAGTGCTGATCTGTTGCTTCATTGGAAAATGGTGGAAGGTCTCATTAAAAATAGCCAGCTGTGCAAAAAGTTACTGTTCTTCAGGCATCCCGCATGCCTCCAGAGGGAGAATCCACTCGAAGGGACCACGCACGCAGCCCGCTGCACCCGGAGCTGTATCCGAACGTACACCTCGCAGCACAAAGAGGCATTTGAAACACACACACGCACTCCCGCCGCTCTCCCCTCCCCAACTGCAGGAATAATTTTTTGCCTCCTTTGTTTCTTCGCAGGTGGGGAACAGGCAACATCAAGCAGGCAGCTTGTAAAGCGGGGAAGAGGAACTTAAAAAACTGAAACCCTCTTGCACTGCAAACACCAAAGTACCCGTAGCCACTGCAGAAGTGGGATTTTACAGCGTGCTCTTCTATCACCTCTTTTCTTCCCCCCCCCCCCCTTTTTTTTTTTTTACTGCTGGGGTGCTTCATGCTCTCAGGTCCAACTGTCCAATTACCGAAACACCCTCAAAGAACGAACAACATCAGAAAGAGCAACAAAAGATATATACCCAGCATAAATTCAGGTAATTCTTTGTGTGCTTGAAACTCTAGCGAAGGCAGCAGCTGCTACAATATGCAAGCTTGAAACCAAAGTCCAAAGAAACGTGGAAATAAAGAAGAAACAGAGAAACACAGTCCCTGAAACACTATTTTTTGATTGGCAATTACTTGGGCTTCAATTTGCAGCTCTGGCATTATAAACTGAGATGGTATATTGATAGGAAGTTCTCTTACATCTTCCTAACTATAAGTTAATGTTGATGATTAAGAACAAAACACAGCAGGGTAAGTTTTATTTATTTGTATTCCTGAACACAGCAGGCATCAAGCAGCAACTTAAATAAAAACTCTTTACTCCAAAGCATTAATGTTACCACCATAGATAGGAGAACGTCAATAACGCCTGCATGAAAGAACACTGTTTTCAAGTAAATCAAGATGTAAATATTTGTTCTACTTCTGCTTTGTACAGTCCAGAAGGACTGATCAAAGATAACACGCATTTTGAGATGCAATTATGAAATGCCAGCATTTAGAAATCACACAATCTATAATAAAAGTTACTCAATAAAACAACTACGGGGGGGAAAAAAAGTTCTCACATACGCTATTACACAGTACGAGAGCTCTGTGATGCTGCTTACACCTGAATATTCACGTGGAAAAAAATGAATACCTAAGAAAAGACGAAGAACCTCACTTAAGGCCAGTAAAAGAGCTCCGAGTGTAGCTGCCACAGACCAGGTAGATTCAAGTCCCAGCCACTGGGCTCTTTGTTGCTCCCAGTATGAACGCTGCGGCCTCGACACCCCAGCATATGAATAGGCTTTGCAGGACAAGCAACGCAACCAAAAGATGCATCAACCAAATGAGCCTCTTCAAAGGACTGTCAGTAGAGGTTTCCTGTTTTTATGTTCCTTGCTTTTACTGAGCCACAAACTGCAAAAGGGGTGACGTATGTTTTCAGTTTAGAGATGGTAATCAGTTCCGCAATTTCAATTCAATCACGTTTTGCAGCTGCCGGAGTCGGCTCCGAGATTGGGATGCTCTTAAGACATTGTCCTGTCCCCTGGCATCACCAAAAAGACCTTGCCAATGCCTTTCCCGCAGACGGGGAAATGAGCCTACCTGCTTCTAAAGGCTACAACACGCAGCATTTGAGGCCTCTCGTGTTGGTTGTCTCTCACAGGCAACTTCAGACCAGCGACCGCTCCTAAGTTGTGGTTACGCTGACATAACAGCCCAGAAACCAAAACCAAAACCTATGAGTGGACATCCTGGATGCAGAGAAGACAAGCCCTGCCTGGGAATAATGCACAAAAAAGCCACAGTTCCAGCTTACGGTTAAATAATTCCCTGCTTGAAGGCACCATGAGATGAACTCCATGGAAGCTTTGGCCTTTTTCTGCCCACATCAACACCAAAGGTTTCTAGGAAGCTGATATTCTTACAGACACAACCAAAAGGACAATATTGTGGAGTGCTTGCCAGGCACATGTGCTGCGGATTTTTATTTTTTGGCCAATCACTTTTCAGTCCCTGGAAAGACTATTTTGTTGCAATTTCCCCATTCTTAAGGGGAATTTAGCAAATCACGTGCTCAGATCCTCTGTGCAGAGTCAGGGCACGTCAACAAAGTAAAAAAGCTCTTTTAAAACAATCCAGATTGATTCATCTTCCATGCAAGTGACCCCACTTTCCTCCTCTCGATCCCTTTGTGGTCAGGTTTCTCTTGGACAACAGCAAATGGCAAACAGCCTGAGCAACATGAAAACTGTGCTGCCTCCCCAGAACAACCCCTGAGCACATGGGTGACTTGGAAAAAGCCTTCACACTGCTGATCTTAAAATTGTTCAATTTCTTGGTAGCTCACCAACAGACGTTTTCAAAAGATGCCTGGATTCAGGATTCAGGACCCCCAAATTATGCGTAGTTTCCACATCTCGTAATTCCTTCCTGGTCCATAGGTATTGCTTAGGCTTTCATCCAGATAAAAACCTACTATTTTCCCAAGCTGAAGACAGAAAGCTACCACAAAGAAACAGTTTTGTTCTCACCTTTAGGCAAGAGAAAACACCCAGCCAAATATCAGCTACCACACGCATCCCTTGCAAGATGGCAAAGGATGGCTTTCCAGCGCTCAGCAGCAAGAGCAAAGGTCTTGATGTTCACAAATGACGTTCCCCTTGAGGCACTGAGCTGAAGCTACCACAGGCAAAAAGCTCAGGACCTCACGCTATGATACCAGCAGTGAAGAGGGCAGAGCCTAAGCGGTATGCAAACTCTTGCAAGAATTTGGCCAGCAAATCTTCCCATGCTTTGAGGCCAGCGGCCAGTCTCAGGTCTTGCAAGTTCCCACCACGAGGCCTTCAAGCATGGAAGACTTTCTGACACTGTAGTAACTAAAGCACCTGCTTAGGTACATCTTATCCACATGCCAAAGGTATTTCATACCTGTGTCTTTTTTCCTCCAAGACATCCAAGAGCTAAAAGGTGATTAAGCATTCAGCGACTCAGCAAGCTCCTTCCCAACACAATTCCAAATATTTCTTGAATACGAAAGGAGCTGAAGCCCCGCCATCAACACCACCACAATGTTTCCACTTACGTATTTGAGCTGTATTTTGCGTAACAGCCCTCAGTGCAGCACTGGAATTCCTTTGCTCCGAATTGCCAAGTTTTGGCACAACGCATTTAATAAGGGATGTGTTAATGGGAAGAAGCAGCAAGCACAAAACTGGAGAAGATCCACTCCGTCAAACGGCATTTTGATCTGTCTGCCTTCAGAGCAATGGTATAGACAACTTGGGGAGTGGCACATACCGATCCTGATCTAAAAATAACTGGATTCCAGGAGTGACAGTCAATTCTAACTCCATTATTCAAATCTTGATTAAATCTAACATCAAGTATATTTCTTAATCAACCCGCCTCAAGTGACTACTTGAAGGCTAATCTCTCAAAGCCTTTCTTCAGGGTAGAGAAGATTCTTCCATAGCCTTAACACACCAAGGAGCAGGTAAAACATGAAAATTATTATCCCCAAAGCTTGTTCTTCCCAAAAATATTTGGCAAAGCACTGGGCTTCTTTTTGGTCTGTTTCATATAAACACCATGTAAAACAAAGTCTCAAAATGCCCTTCAGCATCTAAAAATGAGCCAAGCTCAGAGGGAAGAAAGCATCTTGAACAAGGCATTTCTCAGCGTGGTGCAGCAAGAAAAAAGTCCTTTGGATACTGTTAGCCGCATTTATTTTTGCAATTAACAACAACAGAAGGAAAAAAAAAAAAAACAAACCACCAACCATTACCTGAAAGAGAGAGATATCTTAACACTGCTTTCTTTGACAAAGTTCTTCTAGACCAGCCTCTGGCTACCAAGCACTTGGTAAGTGTTAAAAAAACATATTTACGTAAGAAGCAGTTCAGCGGGGAAATGGTACGCTAGCTCCCGAGCCCCCCCCAAGCACGCACATTAGAGGTGACTCTGCACACTGCAAACCCCCCTCCAGAGAGGCCGAACACAAAGACACTGCCAGGAAACCACTCCAGCTGCCGCTTGCTGAAGACATTTCTGCCCCAGCTGATAACAACCACCACCATGGCCAAAGCTAACCACACCCTCCCCGTTTTGTCTGTTTAAAAACCATCCAATTCCTTGCCAACCTGCTCGGGTAAAGTGAAACATTTAAGGATGGAAGTAAACAGAAAGGTTAGGAAAAGAAGAGAAGGGGTGGGAAAATTTCCTGTGTCATTTTATCAAGCAAGGCCACTGAGGAAACTAATCACAACCATCACCAGGGAAGGTGGAAGATGCTCATCCCCAGTGGGCAGTGGTTCACAGGTGGTCAGAAGCATCACTCTCAGGGAATGTGAAGGAGTCTTCAGAGTGAAAACTACATCGTTCAAGAAAGTAAGATGGAACAGGGGGGAAAAAAAAGCAGGAATCTTTAATAGGAGATAAGCATTCAGAGAGAAACATCACATCCACAAAAGCCCTGAGCTGTGGCCAAGGAAGAGCTGGGGCGACACAGGCAAGTTTGATGTGAGCCAGAACTCATGACGATTGCTATATTTTCATTTTGATTGGGGGAAAAAAAAACAACAGTAGTACTCTTACACTGAACGGCTGCTATACAAGACTAAGACTAAGCAAATGCCTTGGTAAATGCCGTAAAACTATACAAAGCAAGGCTGCAAGCAAGCCGGCTTGACAGAGATCACACAGGAGCAATCAGGAGGAGACAGCCATGGGAGAACAAAGCTTTGACCTCCTATTTGGCCAAGGGATGCATACCAACCCCCTCATTTCTGGAGTTACTTTGGCTTTTGGTCTATACCAAAACTAACAGGTACGGTTCTTTGGCTGTCCTCTGGACCTCTGGTTGCATCACATGCCCGCACACATCTAGTTTGGCACAAAAAAAATAGTGTTTTTAATAAAAAGACAGCAGAGCTAAAGCCATACCCATCTTCTACCTTTCACATTCTGTAATGTAACTGCCAATATAACACTTATTGTAAAATACTTCTGTATTTCAATCATTGAGCTTAAGACAATTCACACCACAATATCCAAACCATACAGTATCCGACACAAACTGAATCACACTTCAAAGAAAACAAGTATCCCCAAATTTAGCATGCTTCTGTCCCCCGATTAGCAGCTGAAACAGCAGTTTCTGGCCTGATACCAGCAGCCTGCATGCTGGTAGAGAGGCTCTGACCCGCTCAGCCACTGTTTGCATGCTGCCTTGAGGTAACCTGATAAACATGCTTCGGGATCTGGGTTGCGAAGCGCAGAGCCGCTGTCGGCGCACCTGGGGAGGACAGCTTACACCAGGCAACAGGCTGTGCTGGCGGAGTAACTCCCCTGTTCCCAACAGCCTCGCCAGCAAGCAAAGACTGGGATTGTTTGCTTTGTGGGTTTGTTGGGGTTTTTTTTTTTCCTTCAGAACAGTTACTTAACACACAGTTATTTCTGCACTCACTTTATACTGCAAACACATAACCAGTTAAGAACGTTGAAGTCCAAACAGAGAAACCGGAAAGGGCCAGATGACATAACTAAAGACACGCAGATGAAGGCAAACCGGGGGGAAACCCATCTCATCGCAGAGAAAGGTTACCAAGCTTTTACTCAGCCTTTATTCAGCTTACAGCCTGGAACAAACTTCTGCGTAGGTATTACAGGCTACCTTCCCTCATACTGAATTCATAAAGTAAAACCTTACATCTCTGGCTTCCCTTTAGCACCAGCAATTATCTGCATCTGGGGGCAAGTTGTTACAAGACTGGGAAAAAAGGTTCCCCGTACAGACACAAGTACTGCAGCACTTGTTTGTGGCAACTTTTACACAAGAGTCTAACTTTCAGTAATGTACTAAAAAACTGTACTTATTTTTCTCTTTCTATGCATGCCATTCACACAGAACTCGCCCAGCCCACTTACCTTAAACTTTGTACCCTAAACCCACAAATAAGCTACTGTAGCTTACAAGGTTACAACCCACGCACGCCTCTTCTCTACAGGGACAGCCACTGCTTGCATCCCTGGGGGTTTGAGACCCTACAGCAGCAACCGTATATTTCCAACCCAGGCTTCCTATCCGTATGAGAAGCATGAATATCAAACAGCCTAGTAGTTCACTGTCTCATTCACTAAGCTACGTTTCCTACCGCGTCTCTAATACTTCATGCTGTGACTTCATGGGAAAATGTAATGCTCTGCTGGTCAATCTGTCAAGAAGCATCGTGGTGACAGCAGTGTTGTCACCCAGACTGATGGTCCTTCCGTCAGCCAAGCAACAAAATCTAGAAGTACGCTTCTCAAGAGCGCTAATGCTCATTTCGACTCCCAGTTTTGTAACGCCTCGTGATTTCCCCCCCATAATCTTTATTTCAGCAGTTTATCAAAACGAAATGAAATTGTAAGTACCTTCTTGCCACACACGGAGCTTATGACTTCTCCCAAGTTAAAATCCCATGTCATACAAAATGAAATCCTGAGAAAGCAGGCATCTAGGGAAGACAGCATGATGCATCTTACACTGCTGCTGCTGCAAATAAACCATAGTTCATAGAGTGATACAGGCTGGATGGGAGCTCTGGGTCTCCTTGGTCTGATCCTCCACACGTTCAATTTTTCCTCATCTAAGGACTCTCAATTGCGTACTTCACACACACCTCTGTAAGGTGCTTGAAGAAAAAGTAAGAGCAACAGTATATTCATCCCAGCCGAGGAAGCTAAGCAGTAAATTAGCCTCAGGGCACTTCTCATTTAAAGAAATGCTGGTTTTACTTCCATTAGCTCAGCCTGTTGAATTTGGGCCACAAACACAGAGGTAAAACACAGAGGGAAGGCTGCAACTGCTGCACATGGCCATCGAGGAAGATTTCCAAGTGCATAGCTTGGAGTGGCCAAGTGGCCTCTGCAGTAATGCTACCCAGCTGAACCAACACCCAGGTAGAAGTCAGTGAAGATGTAGCCAACGTGCTATTCCAAATGGGAAAGAAAGAGGAATTTCAGGACCTGTCCCTGCCTTCTGCTTGCTCCAGACTGTTTGCATCAACAACACACTCTGAGCACCGCAGCAGGCAGGATCGCTCCTTTCCCCATTAGCATAAAACCCCAATTTTGCTGATTTCAGACTGCATGGAAACTGCATATTGCTGTATTTGTAAGAGGTCTTCAAAGACTATGAACTTCTAACAAGCACCTATGACATTTCCCAACCACTTGGCTTTAATCACCACCGCAGCACTGAGTGACATCACCTGTTAAAACATGAATAAGGATGCACCGAGGACCACATTGGTTACCAGTGCTAGTTTAGCAGCCTTTTATCAGATTAACCATAATCAAGACAAACACTAAGGTATTATTTGGGGCTGCAGTGCAAGCAATTGCACAGATAGGCAATTACACAGTTTGTCTGGTCAAAACACACTTTCACTTTTTCCTTTGCAATTCAGAGACATTTTTGACCCACCTGCAGCAAGCATGGATGCTGATGATCTTTCATGTCCCCTATTCCTAAGCAAAACCACCATCTTAAGCACAACATAATAAAAACAAAGATGGACCTAGACCACGAGAAAAAGCAATCCAAGCCTGATGAGTCAACTATCCTCCTTTGAGAAAATATTTTCAACCTTCTCCTCCCGGAGGTGGAAGTTCAGTGGGTTTCTCCACAATCTTCCAAACCCTGAGTGACCTTTTAGCATTTTTAGTTCAGCCAGCAAGACCTCAAACTCCCTGACGGAGACCAAGAGTTATCCCTGCTTTCAACACTTCACAGCTTGCCCAGTTCTTCCCCCAACAAACTCCATTTGTTGATCTGCATTGCCAGTGGAGAAACAGCTCCCCACCCCTCTTCGGTTCTCTCCTGCTCCCTTGTTTTATTGCTGTGCTCCAGTTTCTTTCTACACGCCCTCCGCAGGTTGATTAATACTCATCTGGGATGATCAGATGTCTAGTAATTCAGGCTCTTACACCCCTCCACACCGTAATTCTCATTACAGCACACACATTTTACTAGAAAGCTTTTTGCTGACCATTCCCACTCCTGACATCCAGGCCATTCAATAAGACATTCTGGACAGAGGTCCCGGCTATAAAATCCCCATGCTCTTTGGCTGCCAGAATGGGAATTTGGTGACAGTACAATTCATTCATTTATTTAATGATCTTAATGTCAGCCTGAGTGGATAAAGTGTGCTTTGGCTTCAGTGAGCAGCAATGGGAACTGCGCCAAGTGCCGGCAACAATTGTTTCGGCAAGTGTCTGCAATACCAGGTACCGCTGCCACAGACAGCCCAACGAAATGTGAAGTTGCTTTGGGGGGAAATGGGAAACATTTGAAGTCAAACTTGGTGGACAACTTCAGAACCAAATATTTAAACATAAAGTAGTTTACTTGTGCAGATGAATTTTTTTTTAATTAAAAAATGTGGTTTGGAAATGTAATCAATACAATTACACTGAACAGTTTAAGCTCATTGAAAATTACACTCTGCAATATCTGCATATCAACAAAAATTAGATCGTTTATTCTTTTGCAGAGACAGACATAAAAGCACCTTGAAATCTACTTTAAAACACAACGCTGAAGGAAAATAGAAAACCTAAGATGCACAGACACGTTGACAGTTGAGTTATTTGCATTTCGCAGATCTAGAATACAAGACACAGAGCCCAGAGGAGTAAAGTATTTGAAGAGACACCGTCCAGTAGCTAGTATTTATATCTGTGTAAGCACTGACAAGAAAGGGTGCTGCAAACCGAAGCTGGCTTTATATTCTACAGGGAGCTGAACTCAGAAGATGTCTCACCAGCTCAAGGAACAGCACATCCAAAAGAGCCTTCTCCACAAACTTCATCGTGCTAAAACTGGGCATGAATCACCAACTGTTCAAATCCCTTTCCCACCCTACTCCAGAGTTTGAGATGCATGGTGAATTTCACAGTAAAAGTCACAACAAATGTGCTTTAACTGCTTTTTGATTTCGGTTCTTGACTTCCCCCCCAAATAAGTGGTACAGGTTATCCACCCTCAGCTATAGCACCCTGCTGAGTTCCCTTTCAAATATAATACAGACACTGAGCCTGTCCGATCCATCAGCTGCATGCCGCAAAACGAAGGCTCCGGTGTCAAGCCTAAAGCACCCTGTGCATCACCACAAACAAGAATTAAAGACTTCCAGAAAGTTTTCAGACCAGATTTTATTCCGAATTTCACATCAGACGTGATGGTTCTATAGAAGACCTTGCAGTAGTCCAAGGACAGGAGCTAGGTCTCGCCGCTTAGTGGGAATGCCCCCTTTTTTTTTTTTTTTTTTTTTTTTTTCTTTTTTTTTTTTTTTAACAGATATGTCCTTTCTTCAGGATGTTTGAGCCTTTCAAAAACGGTGGCTGACTAAAAAAACCAAAGCTGTAAGTATTATCACTCAAAATCTTTCTCTTTGATGCTTACAGGAAGAATCTCCCGCTCAGTCTGAAAAGACCAAAGACTTCTGTCATTTTTGCTTTTCAGCAAAAGAACAAAATAAGCCCAGAAAAATGCCCGTTTCAAGGCACAGTAACTTCAACAACTTAATAACGCATAGAAGAGGGAAATCTCTTTTTAGACCACCATTAGCGCAGCCATAGCATTAGCTCAAATGGATTTTCAAATGCCACCAGCAATGCAGACATTCAAATCGGACTTCTCTTAGTAATTCAGCAACTCACGCACAGTCACTCTCACACGTAAATCAAACTGAAACACAAATATACAATCATCATCTGGCAACCCGAAAGAGAGCATCAGTGCAATGTTTATTAGTTTCCACCTCCCAAAAGCCTTCCAAACTCAAGAAATTTTGTGTTAAGATCTTTAACTGCATTAACTCTTCCTTGCTCAGTGT